TTTCCCTAGGGAACCCAAAATAAAACTGGTGTGCATCACAAGAATACCCTTGCAGCAGCCCAGCATCTGGATCCCAAAAGTGGATCTTGAAGAAAGCTTGACTTTCAAAACTGTATAATAGCTAATAGTGAATTTATTAATTCAAGATTTAATTCATTAAGCTGTGCTAGTAATTATTTCTCCATCTGGCTTCACAGTAGCATTATTTATGTAACAGCCGTCTCTCTTCACCACTCACATAAATATCTAAATGTAGATCAATTATTCCAGTAAGATTTTGCTTGGAAGAGATACCCATGTAAACTATTCACTGTTATTATAATTTTTCTAATTACTGATCTGGATTAATCAAAAGGAAAAATTATAGTAAAATACAAACTGTTGATGATCCTTTTAATTATTTTATTGTATATAAATTGATACTAAAGTACGCACTGAGGGAGTTACACATTCAAATCAAGAAAAGAGGTGGAGAAAGCATCATGAGTTGGGACTCATGTTTTTGCTCAAAGGGCACTGCAGATGGCTGGTCCCTGAGGTATCATAATCATCTTCACAGCACATTCAGAAAGGACTGAATATGAAAAAGCAAATACACTATGTATCACCTAGTTCAGCCAAAGGAAAAAAACGACACTGCAAGAGCTGTTCCAAGGAGCCCAGTTATTCTGAGATGACACATACCTGGACTACCATATCAAAAGGCAGGACACTGGTGAGGCTTATGGCTTTGCAGAATTAATTTGAAATTAAATACTTCCAGCCACTTAAAGATCATTTAACAGCAGAAATATAATGATTCGTTTTAGATGTGACATTACTTTGTAAAAATCAAAATTGTATTTTGAACTGAAAAATGTTCAGTTGCCTTTAGATCTAAAATCTCTTTCCCCTTTTTCTAAGTCTCGCTGAAAGCCCACCCTTCCCTTCAATATTTGACATGTTACCAGAGGAGTGCTGGGCAGGTAACCTATGCAAATGAAGCACTCCAAGAAGCACTTTTACCTTTTCACCAGTAGGTGCGTAGAGACTGCTTTCTGCTCACAAGTTCTGGTATACGGTTTACAAAAGATAAGTAATCATAAACATTAATACCTTTGTCATAAAAAAAAAAAAGAATACACACTTCCAACTTTCCTAAAAAGCAAAAAACTTTTAACCAAGTTCTGCCCTAGCTACTCTAATGTTACAGATTTGCTTTACATTTAGCTGTCTGGATTTATCTGTCGCCTTTGTATTTTGCTTGCTGAACAAATGGCTTTATCAGCAGCTCCAACTTACAAAAAAAATTTTTTTTCATAATCTTATGTTCTACTCACATGAAAATGTAGCAAGGAAATCTAGTAAATCTAAAAGTAGAAAATAATAAACTATATCTCCTCTTCTTTCTTCTATTAAATTACAATAGGCCATATCTGTATCTATATATTTATCTTTCTAAGTAGAGAGAAAATAAAAACAATAAAGTGACAGAGAGAATTTGGTTTTTGAATGTAACACTACCGTCCAATTTTTCCTTTTCATGACTCTACAGTACTCTGGGTGTGAATCTGATCTTCTGTCTGAAACATCTTCTGCCTGGGAAACCCAGAGATCATTCCTGCCACTAGTACTTTACTGTCAACCGTAGCTAGAGAGAGATGCTTGAATCCAAGGCTTTCAGCTTTTCCTCAGACTTGTTCTTTCTGCTGATCCTGTCATCACCAGCCTGCAGCTTCTCTGCCAGTCGGAAAATACCAGCAGCAACAGCTTAAAACATGAGAATGCATCTGCTCCCATGTAGTGTCCCTCCCAGTGCGTGCCTAGCACCTGGCACACCTCTCACAACATGCTTGCTGCAGCTGTACCTCTAATGCAACATCTGTGTAAATTCTGAAATACATAAAATTATAAGCACAGTACAGACAAATACAGTAACTGCAACCACAACAGCAAAGAAAGTGAAGGGAGAAAATCTTGAATACTCCAGTTGTCTCTACATTACAGCTTATCTTTTCTTACCTTTGTAGTCCACTGGCTTTGCATTCTTTAGAAGTTCCATGCACCTTGTTTCCTCCTTGTGAATCTCCAGCTGAAATCTACATTCTGGATGGACACCATTCACCTGTGTCAAATTAACAGGCCAGGGTCTTGAAACACGAATTAAAATGCTTTATAAAGGATGCAACTAGCAATAATGAAATCCACAACTTTCACTGGCACTGGTTTTGCCCAAGTATGTGCTAGGCATTTTACAGACACAGTCACTGCCCATTTTAGCTTCTCACACATTGACTTTTCAAAACAAAATGTTAAAATAATCTACCACAACATTCACTGGCTCCTTCCTGTAGCAGTTCAAGGCCAATTGTCATTTACAAGAAAATATTTAATTTTCTAGTGCATTCACCAATATTGTTTCATGAGACTTTTTCCTCACTTTTTCCTCCAGAAAAACTGTAAGTTAGACTGAAGCAGGAAAGTAAACAACACATTTGCTTTTCTTGCTTTTGTAGTAAGTTAGGAAGCTGAAAGTTTAATACAAATAACGGAACACGAAAACCGATCAAACTGCATTCTCTTTGACATGGTAAATTTTGCTTTTCTTCCCTTTCCCACCATGTATATTTTACCTCCTGAAGGCCCCAAAGCATGATTATATGATTCAAGCAAGTGCTACACGGGAATAAAACGCACTCCTTTAAAAATGAATGCACTACTGCTGTTACTCGTTTATAGACCTGCCCCAGTTCCTTGATTTTCAGAAGGGTTATTTATGTCCATGGGAAGAGACAGGGATATAGCAGTATTGGGGAGAGAAACAAGACACCGGGAAGTTGTACTAAAGTAGCTGGATTTACAGAAGCAGACAGAGCCTAATACAGAAACATGCAGAGTCCATAAGAGACTGCATGGGAGAAATTACTGTAGTAGATGACAAATGGGAAAATTGGAATCGCCACTGGAACTGAAGGGGCAGTGAGATTAGCTCAAACAAAATAACATCATAGTGAAATAAAATGTGACTATGCTGTACTTCAGTCATCCTCACACTTGTAGTATCAAGAAAAGGGTGGACTCTCTCCAAGCTTCTCTCTCCCCTTTCCTCTCTCTTTTTTTAGGAGACAGTTAATAGCAGAATCTGGTAATAGTATCTGATTCATGAGACGCTATTATTTTTAAATGGCAATACTTAATTAATTAAGCTGTGATCATGGACCCAGAACCTAGGACCCAGAGTTAGGACTGAGAACCTGGTTATTCTGCAGTCTCCTTGTGGGCAAGCCACTTGCGCAGCTTCTAAAAATACAGCATAATAGCCATAAGCATAACAGCAGGAGCTGTTATGAAAACTCGTGAAAATCTGTCTCTTCTCCAAATGTCTCATTTTACCATCTACAACATCAGAACCTTACTTCCTTTTCCCGATCTTTTCTCTATATTGACTATTGAAATTATATGTTTTCAGGGCAGATTTTTTTTCTTTTTAAAGTGAATTTGTACAGATCCTTAACATAAATTAAGATTTCTAGCACTTATAATAGGATGTGCAAGCGTCATATTGAAAATATCTGTGTTTTGTTATGTATTATCTACTTTCCAGATAGCTCCCATGTAAAATAAAGCCCCATGTATACATAAGGTTTTTAATTGCATTTTTCTTTCACGTAACAGATTTTTAATATTGTTTTTTCCACTTGCAAATATTTGGTAACTAAGAGTAGATCTCCTACTCATGAAAAAGTATTATAATTACTGGGTCTTGGAAAGGTAGGTTCCAGTAAATGGAGGGGTAAATCAACTAAACTAAGAAAATGAGGGGTAAATCAAAGCAGCTACTGCAATTAAGAAACCTGCCGAATAAGTGACTTCTCTCACACTTACAAAAGAACCACAAGTTTCTCAGTACCAGTGATCTAATAACGAAGGTTACTTTGAGAACATAACTTGCCAGTACCCAAAAGTAACACAACATTACTTTTCAAACCCGGGATGCACGCCAAACTGTAATATACTGTATTCTAATACATACACCGGTTTCATTCAGATGTACTTCACCAAGCTAATGAGATTTAAGGTTCAAGACTGTGTGGCACTGATCACATCCTGAAACGCATCCAGAACCCCAAAATGGATTTTGAGTGCACTCACCACCTTTCAGGGCTGGTGCTCATCCACCTTTCCCTCTGCTTTACCCAGAGTAGGTTACCCTTTGTATCCACTGACTACAGAACCATGTGCGCTGTGTTGCACATTGTAAAGGTATGCAGCTGGAAATCCAGCTGAGGAGTGTCTCTGCGTTTTTAGTGGCTTAACAATTTTTAAGGCATCCAGAACAGCAGTTTGACTGGAAAAACATTTCTTCTGACAAGCAGCTTGCATTTCCCTTCAGCATGGTTTCCAAACTTTTGGTGGAAATAATCTGTTAGTTTAAATTTACAGTAACAAAAAATTGAAAGATTTAGAGGGCACTTTTTTATTTTTTTTAAATCTTGTTTCCAGCAATTTTATAGACTTTTACAAACAACTGAAGAAATGCTTAAAAATATAAAGATGTTACAAGCAGACACCCTAAATTTGGAGACTTTAATATTCTGCATGCTTTGTATGTTGTTATCCAGTTGCATGTATTATATTAATGATGCAGGGTTTTTTCCCCATATTATCATAGAATCGCTTAGGTTGGAAAAGACCTTTGAGATCATCCAGTCCAACCGCTAACCTAACATTACCAAGTCCACCACTGAACCATGTCCCCAAGCACCACATCTACACGGCTTCTAAATACCTCCAGGGATGGGGACTCCACCACCTCCCCGGGCAGCCTGTTCCAGTGCTGGACAACCCTTTCGGTGAAGAAGTTTTTCCTAAAACCCAATCTAAACCTCCCCTGGCGCAACCTGAGGCCGTCTCCTCTCGTCCTATCGCTCGTTACTTGGGAGGAGAGCCCAACACCCCCCTCGCTACAGCCTCCTTTCAGGCAGTTGTAGAGAGCGGCAAGGTCTCCCCTCAGCCTCCTGTGCTCCAGGCTATAATTACGATCGCTAACGACGCTTTTCTAGACCGTACCAGGGCAGCGCTCTGTGAAAACTCCTCGCAAACTACTGGTGGCCACCGGCTGCCGGGGGAAACAGCGGGGAGCAAGTCACTCGGCGACCAAGGGCCCGGCGCCGGCCCCGCTCGGCGCCGCTCGGCCGGGGA